ATTTTCCTTTAACGAAATAAATAATTATATTACAAAATGGACTGGAACAATAAGACGATAACAGTAACAATGATATAGTAACAATAAGACGATAATAATAATAATGACACAGTAACAATAAGACAATAATAATAATGACACAGTAATAATAACAGCGACATAGTAACATTAGCAGTCACTATCACAGTAACGTGATCACATTAACAACAATGCCCATGTAGGTGAGATGTACGGGACAATGGTTGGGGACGGAGGTACTATAGAAGGTGGCAAGGCTAGAACATAGAGTGATGGTGGGCTAGACAATAACACAATCACAATAACAACAACACGATCGTAGTAACAACAATAGTCATTGTCAAAATTTTAAGGAACTAGATAATAATATACAGTAGACAGCGACTCAATCACAGTAACAACTACATTCACTGTCAAATTTCTATATAATCAAACAATAAAGTGAACTAGACTACCACATGTTCACAATAACAATGACAGTGACAAATATAACGAATTTCATTATCATTATTCAAATTTTATTGTCCAACAAATTTAAACCAAATAAAAATAACATCAAGATTTACAATTTAACCTAAATATTGAGTTTTTTTGGAGGTCGGTTCATAGTTGTGGATTTTTAGGACAAAAAAGACAGACGCGTTCGTTTTGGAGCTTAAAGGACAATTAAAGACTAATTTACTTTTGATGACATAAATAGCTATATTACAAAATGGACAATAACAACAAGACATTAATAATAACAGTCACTGTCACAGTAACACGATTACAGTAACAACAATGACTATGCGGGTGAGGTATAAGGAGCGATGACTGGTAATGGAATTGTTATGGAAGATAACAGAGCTGAAGCATAGAGTGGTGGTGGACTAGACAATAATACAAACACTGTAACAACAATACGATAATAGTAACAATTATAGTCATTGTTAAAATTCTACGAAAACTAAACAATAATATGAACTAGACAGCCGTATGATCACAATAACAACCATAATCACTGTCAAAATTCTATGGAATTATACAATAACGTGAACTATACAACTATATGATCACAGTAACAACCACAACCACTAATAAAATGGTTCATAAGTTTAAACAAAAAAAAAACAATCAAGTAAAAGTGGAGATCTAAAAAATTTTTGCACAAAAAATAATAAAATCCTTAGCTCATGCATTTCATCGAATACCATTTGGGGATAACATATAAATTGAAGAATATCATGGGCATTCGTTATCCATTACTATGCAAAACATTCCACGTGACCGCCTCTGATGATTTAATATCAAATTCATAGAGAAATTACACATGAAGTTGCAAAAAATAACACTTAGCTATAACAAGAGTACACACCTACAAAGCACAAAATTTAGAATCCTCTTACATCCAAATAATGCTAGAGCTTCACAAATAAATAGCTATCTATTTTAGCAGCCTTCCAAAAGAAAACCCCAAAATCCATTTTCTGTTCAAGAAGTGTTGGGAATTGCATCTTCAAGAACATGGTTGTTGGGAGTTGCTAGGAATTGCATCTTCAAATCACTAGATATCTAAACCGACAAGAAAAAGCGAGCTGCCTATGAGCATCTTATGGACTCTCATTGGTAACGATGCGAAGAACACTTGAACAAGCACTACTCAAAGCAATTCGTTTTAAGCGATAATTCGATCGAGGAGAGCCAAAACCCTCTCTCTCTTCCGATGGTTCCAATGGAGGAACAAGCGGTGCATGGTGGACTGGTGGTGATCAGAAGTCTTGGACAACAGATTGCATGAGGGTAGAATATGAAATAATAATAATAAAAAATAGACTATTGGGCCTACTTACCAAATATTACACATTATATGTCCTTAATAACTTAATAAGTTTTCACCTTTCTTTATTGGCAAAAATAGATTGTCATATTATCTTTAGTTTCAATTTTCACAAAAAAAAAACTAACTATATGAAATCAGCAGAATGGATTGGCAATATCATGGGCCCAATTCTTGGACGGGAATGGATGGATTAATCTTCTTAAATCTTCGGCTCAATTACTGATGAAAAATGATTGATTTATCCCCTTGCCAAACCCCTACCCCCCCAAAAAAAAAAACAAAAAAAAAAACAAAAAACAAAAAGAGGACCATGTTTTTGAATACCGACTTTTCATCCAATGAGAATCTTACTAATTCAACTTTTCATCAAATTAAGGTATGTGGGCCAAAAAATGTTGGCCTTGTAGACTTTACTTTGCAGCCTTGTTGAGCGTTCTTTATTGATATAATCACATCTTCAACCTGACTAAAAGTTAAATTTGAGTAAAAAAATTTAAACAACCTTTAATTCAAATTTATACCAAATTGAGAGAGATTTATTTTTTTACTCAAATCTTTATCCAAATCTTTAATTGTGAGATTTTACCCTCTTTTAAAGGTCCAATGATCATCTTTATTTATTTATTTATTTTTAAATTTGGGTTTGCCCTTATTTAAATTTGGGTTTCTCCTTCTTCAAATTTGAGTTTATTCATTAGAACCTTTTATATTAAATCAAGCTTTTTACTCAAATGTTAATTTAAATTTGAGTAAAAATTTGAGTCATGGTTGAAGATGTTCTATGGTGAATAGTTATATTTGTGTGACAAATTTATGTTTGTTAAAAAAAAAAAAAAAATCAATCAGTGACACGATGAAAAACAAAACAGCCAAATTGAAACATATGTTTTATTTTTTGTGTGCAAAGAGAGCCGAATACACAGGCACAATCAAATTGATTTGGTTATTGATGGTGCTCGGATTTTACAGCCCAAGCCCAATTGGTTAGATGGTGAAGTTCTAGATAGATTAGGTGGGTTGTAGATTTATTACTAGTGAATAACAAGACGATAAATATAAGTGGTTTATTTTAGTCGATGGACCAAGGCTACGTCCATTACCAAGGAAGTCTCTTGCTCCTTTTAATCGTTTATTACTTGGACAGAGATGCACATACAACGATTGGGGACACGGGGGTCCTTTACAAAGGGTAAATATTTAGCTTTGTCTACTAGTTTTCCTTGGTTTGCCAATACTCATGGGGAGAAGGAAGAGAGTTTTTTTCTCGCTGGGTTACGTTTTTTTATTTATATTAGGATCTCTCTTAGGATTTCCAGTTATTCTTCTCTTAATGCTAATCCTGTGAGTCCTTCTCTTTGCATTTTGCTACTTTCTCTGTCATCGTGGTCACTGTTCATCCGACGCCTCTGTTACCACGATCTCTGATGGCTAGGTGCTTCACCTTCTCTGCTCTGAGACTAGCGTAGGTGTCAGGAGTGGTCCCCGAACCCTTAGGATGCGTGGTCCACACGGGTGACCCAAAAATGACATTCGGACCAGGGTTTCAACCTTTGGGCTGCTCATTGGTTGGGCTGGCCCTGGATTGTTTGGTTATAAGCGTATTGCTGATGTTGGGGCCTTTTCTTTCTGGTCTTGGCCTTTTGCGCTTGCCAAGCTTCTGGGCCACGGGGGCCTACGCCTTAAATTTCGTCCATATCAGTTATAAATTGATGAGAGTTTTCTCTATCTTTCTAATTGATCTTAAACTTTTCAATTATAAATCGACGACATCGTTATATGTTGTTTTGTTTCGCTTCAGTGAAATTATATGTTTTTTTGGAAGGTAATAGATTACTAAAAATCCATTGTTTGTTTTTAATCAATCCCACCGAATAAAAATCTTAATTTCGAAACTACTCAAAGTCGTGCTATGATTTTTGAGATGAATGCATTTCAATGTCTCTCGTATTATAAATTTCATCAAACTGAGCCAACCTGTGCGGGTTAATATGGTTGAAATTTAATTGGGCAGTAGAGGGCACTATCAATTATGAAGCAGCAAGGGGACAATGTGTCTAAAATCATCAACTGATGATCCCATTCATGCTTCAGCTAAGCCCCCACTTTTGTTGTTGTGTTGCTTGGACAGGCTGTGCTAAAATGTCATGCCTTTGTCTGTACTTGTTAAGTTTCTGTCCATCCCACACGAATGCTAACCCCACATTGTACATCATGTCGATCACCCACAAAAAGGCCTCTTCCATTCCACTGATCTGCCACAAGCCCAAGCTTGTTATGCCCCACTTTTCTGCAGGACTGATTTGCACCATTGATGCATAGTGCTTTTTTTTTTTATAAATAAGTTTGTCAATGAATCAATTTTTATTTTTTTAAAATGCAAAGTTGAATCGAATGCAAAATTCACTAGTTGAATATGAATTAATAATTTTGATTGAGTATTCAATTTTAATATTAAATCAGAATTCGAATCTGTTATATTATATCAAACATTCGAATTTGATCGGTAAAACATACGCACTCAAACTGAGTTACTGACAAAGTCCTGGGCAAAGACATTTCACGCAAGTGTACAAGAGAGAGTTAGTTGTGGGGACTAATTCGAAAAGTTACTTACTGTCAAAGCCAATCCCATCGGGAAGGACATGGCGATTCTATACATGCCTGATTTGAGTTCAAGAATAACCTCACCGAAAGAAAAATAATTATCACTTCCATATCAGAGACCTCTATAATCAAAACCTCATACACTTTGTACCATTGTTTATAAAAAGAACTCTTGATGCCGTCTTGAATATTAGCTTGGTATGCATACTTGGAGGTCCGCAAAAATAATCTTTTTACATGCAGAAGTTCAATAGTATACTTTTAATCCTCTTAAGTTGTACAATAACAAGAATCTTGTACCCTAAGTCACCCTCACCCTTCGATATGTACATGAGGCATAGACAAAAAAAAGTTCATCAACCACATTCCACTAGTTAATACTAAAACACATTAAAATATGGTAGCTAATGATAAAATGTACTTTATGTTCCAACTCTTACATTGAATTACTAAAACACATACACATTACATAGACAAAACCAGGGTCGATTTTCTAATCTGCAAACATTTTATCATGTCTACAATCGTCAAAACAAAACAAAGCAAAAGCAAATGAAAACTACTTTCTTTTGCCTCCATGGCTGTTTCTCTTTTCCTTCTCACCACTTTGAACAGGAAAACTACGTCCTTCTGCATTAAACATAGGCCCTCCCTTCTCCTCTTGCCTGCTTCCATGTCTGTCCTTGTCCACTGGTTTATTGTCCTTTTTGTTTGCATAAGCCTTCACATTAACCTTATCCTCTTGAACCTTGCTGTGAACTCTACCATGCCCACCTTCTTCATTCCTCCATGCCTGTTCTCGATGACTCGGGCCTGAACCAGCGTCCGAGGCCATTGAATCATCACTGTTATCGTCACCATTACCATCATCGTTGTCATTATTATTGTCGTCATCATCGTCATCGCTGGGATCATTGACATGTTCACCATCATTCTCACCATCTATGGAGGAGCCAATGTACATTGTCCACCCAGATTCACTGCTGTGACATTCTTCTGCACCTCCAAACAGTTGGGAAGACTCCATTACCTTTGGGAAGGGGGGGGGGGGGGGAGGA